ATTGTGAATTGCTGTTGTAATGCAGATAGTGTACATAACATCAGTACCAGTCATGGTCGTACAGCAGATGTTTCAGATTAGGTTAAGGGTATTACGTCACCATTTTACAGGTAGAAATATTCCCAAGGAGGTGATGACAACTCCATAAATAAAAGTTACAGAATTAGACAGTAACCTGAAACACCAATGATGCTTTAATGTCAAATATATATTACAAGTCTTCATAATAATCTTGACTTTAGGTAGCGCATTTAGTTTTCACAATAATATATATTAACAAAACAAAGTGATCCATTCTTCTTTAGGTTTTTAAAAAGTAACCTGAACAGTTTATTGACAAAACATTTTGATTCAAAGGAAAATGTTGTGGCACTGTAATATTGTCTGTCATTCTCAGGTGTCAGTTGAACAGTCAATGAAATGATACGCAACTTTATCCAATAGTGTGTTTGAAACACAGGCCCAACTGTTGTGCCGCAGGGGGTCGTGGCCTATTCTCCCCCTCGGGCACCAGTAGGTCGCTCTCCCCAACCCCGGGACTCACAAGGGAANTAACTTACTTTTGCGATATCACTAGATGGATTTTGGACATTTACCTTTTATACTGCAATGTAAATTTTGTAAGATGCATATTTACTAGGGCTGTTAACTAATTAGAATTTTTAGTCAGTTTACCATTTACTGTACATGCACTGCCTAAGAAATTACATATTTATAGTAAATGTACACTAAATATTTTGATATCTGAACCTTAAGTTAGGTTGCTATGCTTCCAACAAAAAAATCTAGATGGAGTGCTAGAGTTATGAGAAGTCTTGGAGTTAAAAATTGTGAATTACTGTTGTAATGCAGATAGTGTACATAACATCAGTACCAATCGTGGTCGTACAGCAGATGTTTCAGATTAGGTTAAGGGTATTACGTCACCATTTTACAGGTAGAAATATTCCCAAGGAGGTGATAACAACTCCATAAATAAAAGTTACAGAATTAGACAGTAACCTGAAACACCAATGATGCTTTAATGTCAAATATATATTACAAGTCTTCATAATAATCTTGACTTTAGGTAGCGCATTTAGTTTTCACAATAATATATATTAACAAAACAAAGTGATCCATTCTTCTTTAGGTTTTTAAAAAGTAACCTGAACAGTTTATTGACAAAACATTTTGATTCAAAGGAAAATGTTGTGGCACTGTAATATTGTCTGTCATTCTCAGGTGTCAGTTGAACAGTCAATGAAATGACACGCAACTTTATCCAATAGTGTGTTTGAAACACAGGCCCAACATCCCAAAAGGGTGGAGTATAGTAAGCTCCCTCTGTAAACCCAACCAATGATAAGGAAGCCAGCAAACACACAGGAGAAACATGTACCCCATACCACTGGCAGCAGACTTATTGTTTCTGTACGAGTTGTGTAGCTTTATTTGTATTCAAACTGAAGTGCTTACCGTCTGCTCCAGTAGATTTGACCTTGGGGAGTCCCAGGCCATGTATACTAGTCCTTTCCGAAATTGTAAGTCTTGGATCCAGTTCACATTCTAGGTCTTTGACAAGTAACTTACAACACCCATCTTATTGTAACGTGTTTTGCTACTGAAGATGCCGTTTGGATTGTTAAAGACAATTACGGGTTTACACAATTTACAAACCCTACACACTATTCTATTCACTCGATCTTCAGTAGTCGTCACTTATTAATTATGCGNCTGAGGTTCCTTAAGCCTAGTCTAATCTAACATAAAATATTACTTCCACTGTGACCCGTCACTTTTATCAGNCACTAAATTCCACACTCCCAATACCTTCTCAGCTATCACAAACTATCACTGATTATCACACATTCCAGTATTCTTCTTTCCATGTTCACAGTCTGCACTGTGTCACTCCTGATCACAAAACTCACTACTGAATAGTGTTTGCTGCTCCTTATTTAGCCTTGGCACGGACAAGACAGAAAACAGTTACATGATAGGAACCGCTGTTGCCCAACGCCGTGTTTGCCGATAGCCTAGCAACGCTGTCGGGAGTTGTTTACTGCTGCATAGCAACCGCGGCATCCCCCGCTACGTCACCACGGGGAAAGGGGGCGGAGTGTTGACTGGCCTGTTACCATAGCAACGACAGAGCCCGATGTTGTTACATCACCACTGGCAGGGGAGCGGATGTCCTACATAGCATGATACGTCACAGTATCCTTCAGCATTCAGTATTTCACCTCCAGTATATATGATTTACCTCATTTCTTAACCTGTCTCCAGATTGCAGGTGTGGGATCCACTCACATTGAATTAAGTGCTAGCCAATCAGCGCGGACCACGGCAGCTCCAACACCTGACAACTAGCATGTCGGAGGTACAGTGTCACTAGGGGGCATGTGAACCAATGAGCATTGGAGCTGCCATGGTCCTCGTTGATTGGCTGCACTTGATTCAGTGTGGGTGGATCCCACAAGGGTGATACCGGCCTTATGCAGTCCTATAAAATTTCCTTTGTTCTGGCTGAAAACCACCTCTTGTGCTTCCAGCAAGATGCATGCCCTGGTTGAAAGTGGACGCTCCAACAGTGATCTACCTGACTGGTTACAAGCAAAGTTTCCCTCCAAGACTTTAAATGGAAGTTGAAGCAACCATATCTACCATATTTTCTGGATATTGGTGGTATGCATTGTAGCCTAACTTCTGTAACCCGAGTTTAAAAATTTAAGCTTAAGGCTGTGCCTCTAAACTGGTTAACTGATTAAAAATTTAATTATACCAGTTAGTTTACTAAGTATAGCAGTCCTAATATTTATTGAAAACACAGAACGTGAGCTATGTATAAGCACAATCTTACTTCAGAAATGAAGTTACAGACCATGATATTGATGTTGTATGCGGTGCTTATTTGTGTTCATCTTCTGCTTTACAGAATATGTATTGCTGTGGCACAATTAATTTTTGTATAGTCAGTGATATTAAAAGGTTTTCATTGTATGTAAAGAAATATGGGTTTCGAAGGTACAAAAACGAATTTTCAAAATATGTAAAATGAATTATAGCAATAGGTTTAATGTTGCTGGCCAGATACAGATGTCACACCTGGCACCTGGATAGCGTATTTAAAAGACTTGCGCGGCTCACGCTATTACCATTTGTTAGTTGTAAATTCTTTACATTATTTATTAAATTTGTTTGTTACATCTTGTTCCTTTTCGATATTTATCTTCTATCACTGTCATTTTACAGTAATCTGTGTTCTCACATATTATGCTCCCTATTGAGCATATTAAGAACTACGTACAATGTTACGATGTAATGAATTTCTTGTAGAATAAGATTTGAGATTTTCATGGTGGTGAAGATTCATATTGTAGTCTTCTGGTTCATAATAAATCATTTCAATTCTTTATTTATATATGTACTGATATTAACAGCCATGGGCCAATTACATACCATGAATACAAGAAACAAAGATAGGACAAACAAACAGCAAACAGGGCTGAATTAATTAAGGTTATTTAATCTTACACATAAGTTTCTAGGAGATATGTGGTAGCGTAGATGGTTGAGGTACTATACTACAAGCCGGAAGGTCATGGGATCTAATCCAGATGAGGTGGATTTCTTCAATTTATCTAATCCTTCTAGTCGAACTATGACCCTGGGTTGACTCAGCCTCTTAACAGAAATGAGTACCAGGAATATTCCTGGGGGGATAAAGAGCGGCTGGTGTGTAAGGCTGTTAACCTCACCACCCTCTGTGAGCCGACTATCTAGAAAATGTGGGAGCCTCAACATCTCACAACCCTATGGGACTCCACGGCCTGTTACAGGGACTAAGTCCCTTGTACTGCAGCCACTTCTGGCGTATTGTACCAGCCCCAGATGATAGGTGAGGGTGATTGTGGAGCAATTGGTGGAATGAAGATTAGCAGGGGAAACCGAAGTACTTGGAGAAAACCTGCCCCAGCACCACTTTGTCCACCAAAAATCCCACTTGACCAGACCTGGGATCGAACCTGGGCCGCCGCGGTGGGAAGCCAGCAACTAACCACGTGGGCTATGGTGCCGTCGTTTTGATCTGTTACAGGGATAACTTTACCTTTACCTTACATGTAAGTTTCCAAAGGTATGTGTGAATTTACAAACTGCATTAGCAGCAAATGCACATGTAGCTAAAGGGACAGAAACTGAAGGAGTTTCTGAACACAGAACAAATACGAGGGGGTACCCAAAAGAAACTGAACTTTTTTTTTAAACTTATTTATTCAAATTTTAAGCACAAACCTTCAATCCCCTTCAAAGTACTCTCCACTTACACTAATACACTTGTCTAGTCTTTTATTCCATTTTTCAAAACCTTGTCTAAATTCATCTTTTGAGATGCTTGACAGCCCCTCCGTCGTTTTTTTCCTTCACCTCAGCAACATCAGCAAAACGCTGAAAAAAATTTTGATCATTTCGGGACTCTTCTTTCAAAGCACGGCATGCTTCCACGTGACCTTGTTTTTGTTCAGCAGTCAGCAGTCGTGGCACGAATTTCGCAGCCACCCTATTCATTCCTAAATCTTCTGTCAAAATTCACTGAACTGAGCTCCAAATCACTCCCGACAGCTCCACAATTTCTTCAATGGTCCGTCATTGATCTTCCTTGATGATTTCATGAATTTTTTCAACATTGTCATGTGTTCGGGCCATTGCAAAAACGATGATCACACAAAACAATTGTCACTATAAACTCTGCCGAAACTAGTCCTTACCTTCTGAAGCAATGGTAGTCGGCTTATCGACTCTGGAATGTTAGCTCTATGCACTCATAGCGGCAAAATGCGGTACTACAAAAGCTCTGCCCACAAAAAAATTAGTGTGGTTTCTTGTGGGTACCCCATCGTATGTATGTTCCGGTGGGGAACGCGAATTATGACTGTTTCTAGAAGAGAAGAGCAACATTTAGCGCTATTATAAACATTTATTAAAAAATTAAAAGCATCTGGGTGGTTGTACCTGGTATGCATGGTTTATAAATGTAATTGTTCCAGTAAATTATCATTATGATACTAAATTGTTAACAAAAACTGTATTGTGGCAAAGGCCTGCACTTTGTGTGTGATCAAGTTTCTTGGGAGTCTGTAATGTAATAATGGCCACAGCTGTTATATATATATATATATAGCAGTTAAATACAGAATGTCCAGATAAAAGGTATCCAAAATAAAATAATTATATATCAAAGCATTTATTATACACATTTAAGGATCTGTTGAAATTAAACAGAGACCAGTTAAGATGGGTGGTAGAATTACTTACTGGACACTGTCACATAAAAGGACATCTTTTCAAACTGGGATTGACAGATGATCCAATCTATGAAAGTTGCCTATGAGAAGACGAATCAGTCACATCCTATGTGATTGTGAGGCCATAGCTTATTTATGGTTTTGTCACCGGGGCTAGTTCTTTATGGAACGAAGTGACTTTTATGATGCCTCCATAAATAAAGTCCTACATTTAATTGGAAGTGTAGGATTAATTAAGTGTTCATCCAAAGGGGAAGCACAATAATCACTGAAGGTCTCAGTGAGAGGGCCTGATTTTATGGCCCACTCCTTACAGATACTACATACATACACATTCAAGGGTTACACCATTTTAAAAAGGAAACTATCAAAAGTTTTTTTATATGTATATAACTTTCTCAGATGTCATTGTGGGCCCCCTTCGTGGCATGACAAATATCCAGACGATATTTCACCCCGTTCCACGTTGCTTGAATCATGTTTGGTGTTACCATAACCACAGCTTCGCCTACTTCGCTTATGCGGGCTTTCAGGTCTTAAGGGTCATTGATCTTAACCTCTTAGACAATGTTCTTCACAAAACCCCACAAGAAAAAAATCCAGTGGCCTTAAAGCTGGCGACCTAGGAGGCCAAGCGATGGTTACATCTCTGCATTTATTGGCAGAAATGTGTAGACACCCCATTTTGGAGAGAATTTGGGCAGTGCATACAGCTCAAGCATGTCCAACTACGAAAATCCGACCACAGTCTTTCCTGAAGAGAATATTTGTTCAGTCAACTGGGCGAAAAAAAAAAATCCTTCAGCCAACACACAGACCCCGGGATAAATACTATGAATTTAATGGAACGAAACCAATGCATTACCACAGAACAAAAACACCAAATCACACCGCCCGAATTTAATACCTTACATCAACTTACGCCACGGTAGTGTATAGCGTGTATAGGATCCGTGGAGTACAGCGCGTAGTGCGTTCATATGTTCACGATTTGAAACGTTATGCATGATTAATTATAAGTGTTACAGAACTGGCAGATAATATCGCATACTTTATTGGAAAGTTCTCTTCATAATTTATAAACAGCAGTGTTATATTCCTTTTAGTGGAATCACTGAATACTATTAACGCATCTGTTGTTTGTAGCGTGTGGGCTAGCAGTGTTCCCGACGGTAATTATTCTGCCGTCACATTGTCAATCCCTCCAGCGAACATCATTAAGTCTCAGCTCTGGAACCTGGAAGCACAGAAGGAAAGAATTTGTAACGGACGTAGTATGGACTTGTCTACGTTTAAATTTGTTGTGTGATATTTGCCTTGCAGATTAAATATTTAATGCCTTAAGAAGGAAGTAAGTAAAAATGAAATTTCATGGCGAAGATGTGAAGTAATTGTGTATGTGTATTAGACTTTAAAAGTTTTTCATATGAAGTAACTTTTATTGCAGGCTGTCATTATGGACCTAGAGTTCTCATTACTGACGTTTAGCCCGTCCCATGTAAAAAAGAATATAAAGTTAGATAGTGCAGGCAAAGGTAGGTGTGAACACTAACATCTGACTATTAGTTCAATAGTTCATTTTCGTAATTTGTAAGTTTTGGAAAGAAGTGCATAATGGGCCACAACCGAGGTCTTTTGATTATTTGTTGTTACAGGATCATCAAAGCTTACATTGAGACAAAGACGTCTTTATTCAACAAAAGAAACGAAAGTTACAGGTGCCTGTAAGGAGAAATATACTTCTGCAGCGAACGTAAACAATATGCAAGAAAAGCTACCAAAAATAGATTTTGCTGTTGGTGACAATGTTATACAGCCCTTTGGTATACTGCACGATAAACCTGTCGTTAAGTCACGTGTTAGTAAAGGAAAGGAAAATCGTGGAACTGTGGATTTGACTTCTGATTTAGACAGGTTAGTTACATGGAATGTCAAGAATGATCATAAAACTAGCCGCAGGCTTTCCTCTGACCAATGTCATGAAAATGGAACACCAAGGAAGAAGCATTCAATTGAAGTAAAAAATAGTCTCAGCCCAAATACAGCTGAGTGCTTGGCTTCTGAAGTGAATACATGTGTATCATCTCCTGCAAAATCATGTGGAAAATCAAGATATTTTTCCTGCTCTCAAAATTTTCCGAAATCATCCACAGTGTTACTTTCTGAGTCAGGCTCTTTTTCAGTGGATGAGATATGCTCTAAAAGCAAAGATAATGATGCTAAAGTGAACAGAAGTGTAATTATTGTATCTGATAGTAGTACTTCAAGTGCCATTACAAATTCTATTTCTGAACAACAGATTAAACATTCATTACCTTCAAGAACTAGAGAATACAAGAATGGTGTGCAAAAATGTACAGTTGTTATAGACACTTCTGACAGTGAAAATGAAGTTTTAAATGGTAGTTGTGAGGCACCATTTAAATTTACTTCAAATTTGAGAACCCCTTTACACTCAGATATAAAGTCTCAGACACTCAACAATACGAGACATGAGAAAGTAGGAGGTTCTATTGCAGATTTAGAATATGTGCCACCTCCCACATCACTTCAGTTGAAGCAAACAAAATATCAAGATATTGAAAATTGGTTATGTAAAGTAAAATCTTTGGATGGGAGTGATAACAATGATCCTGACAAAATGCTTGAAGTAAGTGGTCTACAGAAGTTTGAAGTGACAGGTAATAGTGTTGTTTTGAATTCGTCGGCTGAAGAAATTCTTGACAATTTATATGGAGAAACATGGCGCAAAAGGAATCCAAAGGGTTCTGAGACTGAACCGTGTAAAAAGAAATTCTCAAGAAATATGCCTATTGTTAGGCAACACAGTGAAAGGTTGGTATGTCACACATCAAGCCTATGTAAATTCTTATCATGTTTGATGTACCTGTACAGTGTGGTGACCGGCTGCAGTAAATAAGTTAAAACAGCTATCAGTAATGGTTTGTTTAACTGAGCAATACACCATGAATATGTAAAGGGGAGTGAAGGCATAACTCCACACATTCTTAACTTTAGAACTAGATAGTGGTGAGTGGTCAGTTCCATGCTGTAGCCACTTCACTTTATGTCAGTAGTCATTGTATAGGAAGCTGGGTGACCTGCCTGGGCTCTAGAAATGATTTTGTGTATAACTGGGCCACCATATAGGCGAGGGACATAAATACAGGAACTTGGTGCTCCAGGTTGACAGTTGGATGTCAAAGGCTGATGTCCTTGCTCTGTAAAAAAAATTGTCACAAAATCAAGTAAAGTAGATGCAACTTGGTGGAATATTGTAAGGAAGGCTATGTCTCAAAAGGATGAGCTGGGATAGCATAGTCACTATAGTGAATGGCTACAGGCTGGATGACTGAAGGTTAGGAGTTCGAGTCCCGGCAAGGGCAAGAATTTTCTCTTCTCCAAATTGTCCAGACCGACTCTGGGGTCCACTCAACCTCATATCCAATGGGTACTGAGGGTTCTTTCCCCGGGGGTAAAGCGGCACGGGTGTGAAGCTGACCACTCACCTCCATTTAGTGCTGAGGTCAGGAAAATGTGGATCTATACATCCACTCCCCCATACTCCTTCATGGTGTAGTGCTTAATTAGTTAAGCACAGGCACAACAACTTTATGTCTCAAAAGGGCTGTCTTGCCAATGATGATGATGATGAAGTAAATAAATGATTGGTTTGTAGGTTAGAATATTCAAAGGTAAAGTTTTGCTCTGTTTTTAAGCATCACAATGAAAACTTGTTAGAGAGCATTGCAGTGAAACTCCATACATTATAAACCTCATTACTAGATGCAGAGATGTGTTCAGGTGGTGTGTTCTTGGTTTAGTGACCGGTGGTTAGGGTGAAAAAATCAAGAGATTGGACTGGACATAGTAGTTTGGAACCTTGTGGGAAACATCAGCTAGGAAAACCGAGGACATTGGAGGATAATATTACGGGTGTAAGGCTGGATGAGAATTATGTTTATTGGTATATTTTTGTATCAGTACTGTAGAGTTTCTGGTGTGATTATCAGAAAGTTTGTTATGTAAAACCCAAATCAGAGATATTTACATGGTCACTATATTGTAAAATAGCTGTTTGGTATTAGTAATTAGTTGACTGCAGTGGGTTCATTCTGTGTTAACTCTGCAGTAGAAAGGCAGAAATTTTATGGCCATTTATGTTTGTAATAAAATCTTGCAAGCTTCTCAGGTTTGGCAAATTAAAGTCAAAAGTCAAGGTCATAATTTCAGATTAACCCAAAAGCTGCAAATGTGGTACAAAATGAAAGCCCCAATTAAGAGCTTTTAATTGGTGCCAAAGTGAGCTTCGTATCTTGATTAGGACCATATTTGTAAATGTTTTGGTGATTTAAAATGAGGACGATTAGAAAAATGAACTTGCTAAGCATGTCTCCAAAATAATTGATGCAGGAAGCTAATGTTACACATGTTATTTATTTATTATACCTAGAAAGATTATCAGATTTTATTAAAATCAGAGGTGATCATTTCAACTGATCAGTTAAGTTAGCATGGAATTACGTAATTGAAAATTATTTAGCCATTTCTTCTGCAACACATTATTATATTTCACTGTTTCAGGAAAAAGCAGAAAGTAGCCAAGAGTGAAGATTCTGTTGTCAGTAGTACTGACAGCGGAGAGTTCGAGAACTGTGAGTAAAATATGTGAAGTAAAAATTATTCTAGTTCCTATTTAGGTGTGTTGACTCTTATTTGATGTTTGTTTTGACGTGGTTTGTAATGTCTGGTTGTGAACTTATTAATCTTCGTGGCTCTCAAGCTTGAGGTGGAAGCATCTGTGTGTCAATTTTTACTGCTTTCAGTGGCAGAATGTTAAACTGAAATGGCACAAGGTTTATAGAACTTAATGGTTGGAACCACTGTTGTTAACATTCCAAATCATAAGTTGCAGATATTATTACTTTAAGGGGCAGGAGCGTGTCATAAGATCTTTTTTGGTTCTTATCAGTCAAACAAAAAACAAACTCCGTGGTTTTAGTTTGCAAGCAAACTATACCGCTGCTTGTCGGCTAAGTAAGTGCCAACTTTTGTGGATAAAGGGTGTTGTGTGGTCAGCGCAACGGATCCCCATGGCCGTTAATCTCAGGTTTCTAGACCGGAGCCGCTATTTCCTTGAAATAACTCCCCAGTTATACTCATGAGGCTGAGTGGACCCAGTTCCAGACCCACTACTTCTCAGAAGATGTGGTAGTGCCGGGAATCGAACCCGGACATCTGGATCTGTAGTCAGGAACTCTGACCACTAGACCACAGAGGCAGTCGTTTTTCTCAGAGAGGTTCCTTAAAAGTAGGGACTTTGTTGGCCATATGAGGAACTATCAGTTTTTCGTAGAAGCCGTTGCACATCAGGGGGTTAGAGAGGTGTATCTTAGTGAGATGGATTCTGTGCCTTTTTGATGATGGTGGTGGTGATGATGACGAGGAGGAGCTGTTTTGTGGACTTCATGAACTTTATTTTGTACTTCATGTAAAGTAGGTGTTATTCTTAGACTGGTACGAGCCAAGATGAAATTCGGTGTCAACTTTCATTGTTTGTGTTTAGTACCTAATTTAATTTACGTCCAGTGAGTGGTTTTGGTGATGAAACTTATGAGTAGACAGAACATACCTATTATGCATTATCTTCTTGCACGTTTTGTAAGAATATATAAATTCCAGGGAGTGGGTTTGTATAGAAACTTATCTATAGACACAATTATAAGAACATTACTCTTCAAGGATAAGAAGTAATTTTATCCTCTTTTTCAGTTTTGAAGAATGTACGCCAAGAATTTGAATCAACTCGAAGGGATTCTATTCTGGGAACACCAGACTTTATTGATGATAATGTTCAGGACAACAGTCTTGGCTTCTATCTGGGTGTGCTTAATAGCAAGGATCTTAAGAAAGATCATCTGCAATTGAATTGGTAATTGGGTGCAAATTTAAGATTATTTCTTGTAACTGACATAGTGCTTGGGGAAATTAATGTAGTACAACTATTATAAATGATATACACACTTTTAACAATTATTTTGAACAAACAAATAGTCCTACAAATCTCTGTTGGTATCAGTTAAAATTAAAAAAACCCTCAAATTCCGTGACTTGTAGTCTGCAAGCGAACTATACTGACTGAGCGACCGCCGCTTGTTTTCAGTCAGTGCCAACTTTTGTGGGCACTGACAGCGCAGTGCGCAATGGATCCCCACTGCCGTTAATCTCTGTTTACTAGACTGGAGCCGCTCTTTTCTTGAAATATCTCCTCAGTTATCCTAACAAGGCTGAGTGGACCCCTTTCCAGACCCAGTACTTCTCAGAAAATCTGGTAGCGCAAGGAATCGAACCCAGGACCTCAGGATCTGTAGGCAGAAACTTACCACTAGACCACAGTGGCGGTCATCAGTGAAAATACAGCGCTTATAATTCATACTGTGTTTCACAGATGCTGAAAATAAGTGCCGTTAGTAATTCTGATAATATCAAAACAATCTGGAAACTTGTCTCAGAATTTTGCGAGGTTTCTTGTTCAGTTGATGCAGTAGCTTCACAGTTCGTTTTTTCAGGTTGTCAAGTTTAATTGGTAAGGATGGGAAGTGGGCGTCTTTAACATAACCACATTGAGATAAGTTAATAGGAGTTAGGTGTGGAGATCTTGAGGGTCTTGTTAAGGATTTCATAGCCAATCAGAGGTTACTTACACAGTCACTTCTGAAATTAAATTGTTGCCAGATTATAAAACTGTATTTCTTTGAACTGGCATTTCAGTTGGTACTAATATAATGTAAGTAAGAATTTGTTGAAGTAAATAGTTAAAAGCATATACTTAATTTATAACAACTCTGCAACTTTTGGACTCATTTTATCACATTATTTTTATATGTATAAAATATGTTGTAAATGTAACACTTTATCGTAGTTCTTGTCCCCCTTCTTTTACACTACATGTTTCGGCCACAACCGGCCATCATCAGGTGTATTGCACTTCACGTAACTGTCACACTGCTCTCAACATTAACATTTAAACTCCAGATTTCCATATGTTCATTGCTCTATTGTCAATCGGCAACCAATATTCCAGAAGTCCCCTTGTCGATTTTGTCAGTTATGTTTAAAATCTTTATTAATATTCACACGTCGATTGGTTTAAAATTTTAATTTTTCAATTTAGCTTTAATATTTAAAATTTAAATTTGGATTTAAAATCAAAATCACAGAGATACCTGCTCTATGCTTATATGTGCTGCAGCGGCTACCTCTTGCTTTCAGCACAACTCACATGTTATTTTGTGCAGGTTCTCTGTGTGCGTGCCACTGCTTTTCTTTAATACGTTTGCAAACGTGCTAGCCAATCGCAAACCAGAAACCATTCACTGTGTAGCAACGGCTGAGTTGCCGTAACATATTTTTGTAGACCTTACATAGCAACCACTGTTTACTCACCGTTGCTAAGCAATGTCACTGTAACGTTTGCTTGAATGTGGGCAGTTCCCGCAGATCCATTCCATGGTTTATTCTTTTTTGGATCAATGGACAACTTGGCTTGCTAAGGAGCCTGCCCTCCGGGTCTCCTGTCATTATGAGTACTTTTATTTCGCTGCATTCATCTCTTGGATGGCATCTTAACTTCTTGATCAAAGTTACTGTTGTACCCAGAAGTCTATTGTGACAAAACTAAAAGTCTTGCAAGGCCGCACCATAGCTCAAGTGGTTAGTCGTTGGCTTCCCACCACGGCGGTCTGGGTTCGATCCTGGGTCTGGTTAAGTGGGATTTGTGGTGGACAAAGTGGCGCTGAGGCGGGTTTTCTCCAAGTGCTTCAGTTTCCCCTACCAATCTTCATTGCATTCACCTGTTGGATGACATCTTAACTTCTTGATCAAAGTCACTGTTGTACCCAGAAGTCTGTTGTGACAGAACTAACAGTCTTGCAAGGCGGCACCATAGCTCAACTGGTTAGTCATTGGCTTCCCACCGTGGCGGCCTGGGTTTGATCCCGGTTTGGTCAAGTGGGATTTGTGGAGGACAAAGTGGCGCTGGGGCGGGTGTTCTCTGAGTACATCGGTTTCCCCTGCCAATCTTCATTCCACCAAATTCTCCATCATCATAATCACCCGGGGCAGGCTACAGTAGGCCAATCAGTGGCCGCCATGTTGAGTGGACTCAGTTGGAATTCACCCCCCCACTAAGCGAATTAAAAAAACCGTCTTGCATTGTTTTCTTTTTAAACTGCTCTGTATTATCTTAGTTCAGGTCTGAGTACCTCCAGACAGTAAGAAGTTGCTTACAGAATTGATTTTGATTTGAAGCTGGATCAAACATGTAAAACCATATATTTTCTTTTGTTTTTTGTGTATGGTGTCATCTTTCACAATCATCTCCCTGTCCAATTTGACATTATTTAATCTCTGCAATTTAAATGTCATTTTTAAATAACTGAAATCACTCTAATGGCATTATTTCATTCCAGTAAGAAGGAAAATAGCAAATCCCTACATGCTGTTGGTACATGCAAGCAGCTGTGTTTTTCAAGCAGTGATGATGGTGATGTGCCAGCTACAGAGCAGAACTGTGCTGGAAATATTGATACTTCAAAGCCCAGGACTAATGAGAAGAAACCAAATGATTTGAAAGAAAAGAACAATGTGAAAAGGCCACAGAAAATAATAGTTCCTCCGGTAAAACAAACTTTGGTTAAAAGGACTCCAAAGACAGTGGGACAAACCAAAGTGAAACCTTTTTTTGACAGACAAGTCAGCAAGTTTTGCTCTCCTGTTCTCAGTTTCTTGGCATCACTTTCAGGTATATGTACTGCATGTCCATTGTCGTAGGTTCTCTTGGTGTACCCCAGTCTCATGCTCCCTCTTGTAACCACTCAGATATTGCAGATGGTCCTTATAGAAGGCTTAGGCAGCGTCTACATGAGCGCACAAAATGTGTCCATTGTAACGAATGTAGTGACGTCCATTGTAGAAATAAACAAGAGAGGCGAATGCTACTCTTTCTTCTGGCTCCATTGCAGACAAAGAACTATGCACCACATTGCGCAGCTGTGTGGTGTCCTCAGTAACGTCCCTCATAAAGTACGTTTGTTACAACGGACGCATTTTGTACGCTCGTGTAGATGCTGCCTAAGGGTTGCTCTTTCCTTATTTTATGTTGGCAGTGGAATTATGCCTGGTCAGTATTTTAGTGTCCACTTTTCCCAGAAAATCTTTTCCCACTGCTCAGTGCATGATTATGTATACTTCAGAAATGGAGAACTTTTAAATGCCTAACGATATGGCTGAATGAACACTTGTTGAAGTGCTGTTGTGTCATGACAGGAAAACACTTGTCACTTCAGTACTCCATCTTGCAGTTTCCAGACGTCAGCAAGTTAATTTTTCATATTCTGTATTTGTTCTGCCATCTATTTGTGAAACAAAAATAGTGAAACTGTTTTGATTTTGAAAAATAAATGTATACAAAAAAGGCCTAGGCAATGCCCACCCGGCAACTGTCTTTGAATCATGAATAAGACCTGTACTGCCATGTGTTGAGAGTGTGGGAACTGCCCACATTGAAGCCAACATCACAGTGACAGCTCAGGTACCATTGCTTAGCAACAGCGAGTAGACAGTTGTTGCTATGTAAGATCTACAACAATATGTGACTATGGGAAGCACCTACAGTGGATCGAGTGCTAGCCAATTACAAACTAGAAACCAGGTTTCATAGCAATGACTGTTTACTTGCTGTTGCTAAGCAATGGTACCTGAGCTGTCACTGTAACATTTGCTTGAATGTGGGTACTTCCCACAAGAGAATGCCTACTAAAAGACTCTTGCTTGTGTCTGGTAACCAAATAATAAAATGTTTGTTATCTTAAGAATATTACACAACTTCAGAATAAAATAAATGACAAAATACATAATTCCTTGAAGTATTTGTAGAGTTTCACTTTCTAATTTCTATTGTATGTCAGGCAGGCAACATTTAATATTTTCAGAATTTTAAAATTGTAGTTCACTGAAAAATTCAAGGTCAAATTTTAAATTAGATAATGTTGAACTGTTTTAGTGTGGTAATGAAATTCTCTAATGAACCATTTTAAAGCTCAAAGCTAAAGCTCAAGCAGATTTAAAATGAGTTTTCTGTATGTCAGGTATATTAAAATGCATGTTAGAGAGATAAGATGGGATGGTATGGATTGGATTGATCTGGCTAAGGATAGGGACAAGTGGAGGGCTTTTGTGAACACGGTAATGAACCTTGGGTTCCATAAAATGCTGGGAAATTCTTGAGTAGCTGCTGATTTGGCTTCTCCTCAAGCAGGGCTCAGCTCCATAAGTAAGTAAGTATGTCGAGTAGAACCAGAGTTAGAAACAAATTTGTGATCATTCATACATCAATTTAGCCAGGTTTTAAAATGTTTAATTTACAGTGTCCCTTGAAGTAACTGAAATAAAGTTATGAAAGTTTGTGCACATTCATTTCTAATGGGTGACCCAAATTCCTTTAAGATCAAAGTAGATAAGTTTGTGAACTGTGGTGTTTTGACATGGAATAAATGGAATAAAGCAGTTTGCTTTTACCGGTTCTCATGGTCTCTTCACTTGCAGATTTCTTATATTTTTTCTTCGTGAAGATGGAGGCGATACGTTCCTCCGAAACGTCGGTTAACACCACATATACACGGTGCCAAATCCCAGAAAACTGCTTTCTTCATTTTAATATTATCCTCTCACAGCCTGAATGTTCACAGATCTAACAGTTGTTATTTTTATTTTGAAGCTGGGATTTCAAAAGGACGATGTCACCCAGAAGCAGAGTATTATAAAAGTAATTTCAGGATGAAGAAGAAAGAACTCTGCAATAAACTCTTCAAGATGTACAATGATAAAATATTTGATAATAAGGTAAGGAGCAGAAATAAATTATAAGCAGCCAATTTTTTGGACTGTAATGTTTTAATGATATTGGAAATAGTATAGCAGCAAGTTGCATTGTTTTTGTTCAGATTTGGGAAATTGTTTTTGAGTGCAGGCTATGATTAGGCCAACCACAAAAAGTCAAAGTAACAGATATTTCTGGCGGGACTTTTCTAAGTTTAACAGATTCTGGTTGATATTTCTGCTTTATTTTGGCTGTTGTCTTGGCTGTAAAACAGTTCTTGTGTTTCATGTGTCTTGTCTGTAATCCATGCTGAATTTTAATATTTTAATGGTGATTGTTTGGTAACAATGCTAACATTAATGTGGAGTTCACAAAGTTTTCAGATGTGTTCTTTATGGTTTTATATATGTGCACAGAATCTCAATGTTCCCTTATTGCAGAATAATGGTTTTTCTAGCTTGTCAGTAATAAAAATGTTAAAATTTCATACTATTGTTTCATGTTCTCAGACATTTGCTGCACTCCTGTGGCAGGCATGATACAAAAAGATTAAAAATTTACAGCAGCATACACCTCTGTACTTTATTTTCACCGTGTCTTCTATTGAATATGTATGATGATAATGGATAGTGTGATATACAAAATAATGAATGGCATTCCTAAGTTTTCTTAACAATGAAAATGCTGAAAATCAAATTAGTTAAAATCTCCCATATTTTTGGAAATGTTTATGGGAAACGTGATAAAAGTCCGTTAATGACGTTATTGAAACTAGGCTTCGTTGTGAATAAGCATGACTGAAAATTGAAATTGCATGACAACTTTCAGTGGAAATCTCCTATATCAGATTTCAACAAAACCTTGACATGGTTCCTGGAGTACACGGAAAAGTACGTGAACGTCTTTATATAAACTGTGGTTTATTCTCGGTCAGAATGGTGGAAAATGGGGTCTGTCAGACCACTTTTGGTGGAAGCCTCTTGCATCAGATTTCATTCTGTGGTAATTAAGCACAGAGATAACTTAATTTAAAGAGATATGTATGTTATATCATTTCCAGTTTCATGTGTGCGCAAAGAGCTACTGAGGAAGAAACTGATAAACATTCAGTTTGAGCCTCATGTAAAAATGGTTTGTGTTAGACTGGTGAATTAAAACGAAATTTGCAAAGCAACATTTATTGTAGATCTCCACTTCCATATTTGGCAAGTATTTCTAGAGACATATGTATGAATGGACAGATGTGCACAACTTCCCCATCGTGCAATAATTTTATGCGAAGAACTGATAGCCTTTAGTGCAGAGCATTTAATTTCGCTTGTACATGCCCATAGCTGAGGTGTTTTAAATTTAATGTGTCAAGTCTGTAGCAGGTCGTAATGTAATTTGTACTTAACTCTTCGACTGGCACGGGCGTGTTTTAACGCCAGGGCGATGCCAGCCGTTCCCTGGCGTTGGCGTGTTTTAACGCTTTGAAAATCTCTTCCCTTATTTGCTCTCTTGGCTCTCTTCAACCAAAGACATATATATGATAGTTTTTGTGCATGGTTGTAAAGAACCCTTGTAAACTTTGTGGGGGGTCTATATTACTGTCAGAACCCTGCGAGAAGGAAAAGTTCAAAAAATATTTCACATTCATTCAGTTTCACCATGGCTTCTCGCAGCAAGTGTCGGCATGTTCCTACAGACCAGCTGGAAAGTGTTGTGAAGGAGATTTGTGCTGATGATGATAGTGGCGATGAAATAATGATTCCTGAATTGAATGAAGTTGATAGTGACAATAGTACAGTGATAGACAATGATCCACAAGACAGTAATCATGAACATTTAGCTACCACGAGTGCGGTGCCTGACACGCCCATCTCATGGACGTACGGAGACATTGTACCAGTAATAGTTCCATTTACTAGTAGTTCCGGGATCAAAATTGATATAACACATAAAATGCACCCCTTTTCATGGATAAAATTTTTTCTGGATGATGACTTAGTAACTCACATTACAACTGAAACCAATCGCTATGCTCACCAGCACTTCAACACACATGAGTTAGCTCCTCACTCTCGAGAACACAATTACAAATATGTCACATCAGATGAAATCTGGACATACTTAGGAATTGTGTTCATGACAGGAATCGACAAACGCCCTGAAATTGAAGACTATTGGTCCACTAGGCCCCTATTTCACACTCCATGGTATGGACAAAAGATGTCTTTGCGGCGGTTCCAACAGATTTCAAAATTTCTTCATTTTGCTGACAACGATGCACGACCAGCTGACTGTGAAGATCGCCTGTATAAAGTTAGGCCAATTATAGACTCATTAGTGGGAAAATTTAGGAACACATATATCCCTGAAAAGGAAATTGCAATAGATGAAGGAATGATCGCTTGGAAAGGACGTCTTATCTTCCGAGTATATATGCCTGATAAACCTGATAAGTACGGTATAAAGGCTTATCTTGTTTGTGAATCGACAAGTGGATATATTTGGAATTTTGAAATTTATTGCGGAAAATCAAGGCCTATAAAAGAATTAGTTGTCGATCTGTTGGGGCCACAGCTTCTAGATAAAGGGTATCATCTCTACCAGGATAACTATTACAATAGTGTAGAATTATGTGAGACGTTATTACAGAGAAATACCTATGTGTGTGGAACCTTCAGAATGGACAGAGGAGCTCCCAAAGAACTAAAGAATGATGTAAAAAAATTGAAAAAAGGGGAATCTGTGTTTTCTAGGAAGGGGCAGGTTCTCGTACAGGTGTGGAGAGATAAAAGAGACGTCAAACTTATCTCCACTCTTCACACAGCAAAAATCGTGGAATCTGCAAAAACGAATCGCAAAGGAGAAAAAATATGCAGACCCGAGGTAATTGGGGACTACAATAAACATATGAGAGGGGTTGACAGGGCCGATCAAATGCTGCATTATTATCCTTGTTCCCGCAAAACTGTAAAGTGGACAAAGAAACTGGTGTTTTTCTTGTTGCAAATGGCAGCGTTGAATAGTTTCATTCTATTCAAAAAGTACACAACAACAGAAAAATACAAGAAGAGAAATTACAAATTCAAAGATTTTATATTGGACTGTGTAGAAAAAATGACAGAACAAAACAAACAGTGTGGAGAGGGAGAACAGTCAAGGAATGAAGTGGATGACGAATCTATTGCGTCAGACTCGAGTGCAGTCACGCCTCCGCCCGCGACCTTGAGAAGACCACCAGTGAAAGACCCAGAAAATCGTCTAGAGGGTGGCTTGAAAGTTCACAAAATGGTCCATGTTCCTCCCAGTAACAATAAGAAGAATGGTGCCATGAGAAAGTGTCGAGTGTGTGCTAAGCATAAGATTAGAAAAGAAACAAGTGTCATGTGTGCAAGCTGTGGTGTGGCTCTCTGCAAACTTTCATGTTTCAATGTTTATCACACGAAGAAAAACTACTAAAAAGGTATGGAAAGACATTTATTGCATAAAATATTGTATTTTTAATAGTTCCTGAAAATTTCATTTTTAAAAACCAATTTTTGTTGAAGTTGTTTAGAAAAAAGTAAGCACATGCATCTTAGTGACATAATGTTTAAAGGGCCTGCCAGGACAGGGGTGGGATTTAAATACCCTTCACGCCAGTCAAAGAGTTAATACATTTTTTTTAGATGTTGTCTTCAGTTAAGTGCTGTGTTGTTAAGAATGATTTAGTTTACCTGCATAGAAAATTCTGGAACATCCTAATTTAAATCACATTTTGTTTACATATATATGCATCAACTCTGACTATTTTCACGTGTTTTGTTAGTTTGCATTGCTTTTGGGGAGTGAGGGTGGGAACGTGTTCCACTGTTGGTGCAGAAGGTGTAATTACAGTGTTAAGGTATGATACACATTCTTGCTGTATCAAGAAACACTTGTGGATTGCTTGGAGTGAATATATTTATCGGTGGACAGATTGTACCGCATAAACATTTCTGTTGCAGAAAGATATATTTTTCAGTGGGTTCATCTTGCTGCCCATATTTGCTAGCTGCACTTCTTGAATATGTCAGTGCAAACTGGTAGTATTTAAATCCCCCCATTTTGAGAAAACAGGAAATGCGTATAATACCGTTCAAATAGTTTCATTATTGGTAATCAGTTTCAGGAACTGGAAAAATCAATCACAATAAATGTTTTCATCTCATTATTTTCTAATTTAATGAATTTATACGTGATTTTTGTTTAGCATAATTTCATGTTTTTTTTTTAAGTGTTGATGAGGTAGGCAGAGGCATCCTTGGAACATCTTAAGATATTTATGTTTTATATCGATGCCTTATTTGGCTATGAAATAAGAAGGGTTGTGCGGAGAAAGTTATGTTTTCCAGGATTTTTGCAGGCCACAGCTGAAAGTCAGGAAGCAGAATCACGTGTAGGAGGTACATCTTGGATATGCTTTGATATCCAGAGAAACATTTTAGACAGGCATGGTGAAAAGGAGTTCTGTTCTTGTGAATTAAAAAAAGATTAATAGTATTGTGATGCAACAGGACAGTGAATTCCCTTTCAGCTGACTAGGAATAGATTTCATAAGAAAAGGTTTTCCCTTTCATGCAATAAAGGTTGTGGGGGAAATTTAGAATGATTATGTGTTCATATTCTCAAGCTGATATACTTGTAAATGGCTGAAACTAAACAGTGGTCCTTTAAAATGATGTACTAACATCGCATAACAGAGTGCAGAGCAGCTCATTTATAGCACAATCTGTCACAGGAAGCTAAAACTAGCCAATTGCTTGAAATATACAGCCATAATTTTTGCTCTTGCCTAACATCGTTTATTAATATAGGAAGAGTAACTATGGCAACAAGCTGCTAATACCAAAATTCACTTTTGCACCATAATCAGCGGAGCCAGTCCAATCCGCACTTTCAGAATGTATCAAAGATTAATTTAATAATCATTCTCTTATGTCCTTGGTCTCTGAAGTGTCAGTTTCCCAGAGATTTCTCGAGCACATTTTTTATTCCCTCCGTCTGAGCTTCATGTGTAGTGCATCTTAACCGCCTGAATTAATTACTCTACCAGTGCTGCTGTAAGAAATACTTTTCCATATTGTGTGATATTCTCTATTTCTGACCAATTTTCCCTTTGTTATGGATAAATAATGCCAGAAAATTACTGAAACTGACCAAATTGGGGTGTCAATGAAGTGCCTGCCTGGTATTTGGAAGTACTGGGTTTTGGTCTTTAACATGGCATCAGCTATTCTGATGGAGATTTCTCTTGGTTTTCACAGTTGTTCCTGGAAAATGCTGGACTAGAGAGCCATAAGTACTTTCTCCCCAACCTTTCCAGTTCTCCACATTTGATCATTGTACCTCATTAGATGTCACATTATCGTTACAGCAGAAATTGGTTTGTTAGATAATCTGTAGACGAGCAAATAGTTCATCAACATTTAGTAAACTTTGTACTCAACATGATGAAATGTTAACAACATACTCTCTCTGTGTAGTTCAGTTACCAACTCACCTGTCCGGGCCACACCATAGCTTAAGCAGCTAGTCACTGGCTTCCCACCGCGGTGGCCTGGGTTTGATCCCGGGTCTGGTCAAGTGGGATTTGTGGTGGACAAAGTGGCACTGGGGCAGATTTTTTCTGAGTACTTCGGTTTCCCCTGCCAGTCTTCATTCCACCAATTGCTCCACAATCACCCTCACCTATCATCTGGGGCTGGTACAATATGCCAGAAGTGGCCGCAGTACAAGGGACTTAGTTCCACCCCACTAGCAATAAAAAACTCAGCTATACAGTCCATGTTACTGAATCTTTTTAGACCCATTGAACACTTCTTATTCTGTATACATGGATTAGGCAACAGCCTGTTCCAACTTTTAAGGGAAACATATTTATAGAACACTTATACATATTTAATAATTCACTTCATGCTTTCATTAATATCTTCTCTTAATTTTCTTTACGCTTTTAGCTTATTAACTCAATTTGTTCAACTTTCTTTAAGCTTCCCCATGATATGCTTGTGGAGTGGAATGCTAGGTTGAAGCGGACAGCTGGTTTCTGTTATAATCGCCGGACAGTAACTTCACCTGGGACCAAGATTCGAACATCACGAATTGAACTTTCAACAAAGGTATATTGTGTTTTATTTTCGCATGAAACGGTATTTTTTCATGTAGCAGCTGGAAGAGGGAGTATTTTTGCATGCACGTATGGTTAAGCAGTTGCTCATAATGCGACGTGCTCATACATCTAGGCTTAGCATTGTCCAGAGAGTATTAGATAATATTTAGTATGAAGTTCAGAATAAAATCTCTTTAAAATTATTTTTATTGTTTTTTATGTATAAAGTGTTTATTTTTTTCAGGCCATTTTGCAGTGTTGACCATGCGTGAAATGTGTAAAACATTCATACGCAAATTTAACCCGTGTCCTTGTCTCTGTGGGTTCCGTAGTCTGTGTTACAGGGTTGTGAGTGTGTCATGCTGGGTCACATACAAAACTTATTACTTACTTGCTCTTCAGATTGCAACATTTTGGGATCCTGTGCTGTGAAAGTAACAAACTTTGTTGAAATGAAAGAACTTGGCGTGTTTGTGTCTCTCTTTACGCTGAATGTTTGTGCACATCAGGACAAATCTCTGCCCCTGTCTTCCATGCATATCTGCCCGGCATGAAGAGTGACGTTCTGTGTTGTTTGGCAGCCACCAAAGTTCATGGATGTTTAGACTCTCTTTTTTTTTTTTTTAATTTGCTTAGTGGATTGTGTAGTCCAACTGGGTCCACTTGGCACGATGGCCACAGATTGGCTTATTGTAGCCTGCCCTGGGTGATTATGATGACAGAGAATTTTGGTGGAATGAAGATTGGCAGGGGAAACCGAAGTACTCGGAGAAAACCCACCCCAGCGCCACTTTGTCCACCACAAATCCTACTTGACCAGACCCTGGATCGAACCCGGGCCGCCTCAGTGGGAAGCCAGTGACTAACCACTTGAGCTATGGCACGGCCATGTTTTGACTCTTCCACAAAGTTGATTTCCTCACAGTTTTCTTCCATTATTGCAAGATTATGAAATTCTGCTCTGTAAAGGTTAGTTTTGTTGCTCTTTAGCCACTGATGCAACATTCAAAGGACTACAGGGAAATGGGCCAGCACAGTACATGCAGATATTGTTATGGCATCACACTTGTGTGGATCCTGACATTGTCTTAGAGGAGTAACACTTCACAATGTCTCTTGTGGGACAAATACATTGGCTGTGAGTTTCCAGCTTTTGTCATCTGTCCACATAGTGATTTGAGTTCATCAAGGTTTTTGAAGGTAAAAAAGTCCACAAGAATGACACTTCTTTCATGTCAAAAATGTAGGCATTATTTTTGGGGAGTGGTTGGTTCCGTTATCTTCCATCATTGCATCACAGAAGACAAAACCATCTTTTGTGCATCATTGCTGAGGATGACAGCTATGTCAGTTACTTCAACCAGAGTTCAAGAGGCATTCAATGAAATGGCATGGCACATGTCCTCTTCTGTCCACAAGACTAAAGAAGTTCAAGAGTGGATTATTAATAAGAAAATGATGTCTACAGTTTTTTAGTATGAAGAAGATGCGGTTCATGTGGTTTTTGCCTTTAATAACGACAGTGAACTTGATTGTTATATGGATATATTGAGAAAATCAAAAACTTATTTGGTTAACTTCTCCCATGAGAGAAATGTGTGATGTCTTTCTTCTGTAATAATGCCAGGCCCCGTGTAAGTGTGTGCAAGTGAGGCTTTTGGTTAAGTTTTTCCACGAGAGAAATGTGTGATGTCTTTCTTCTATAATAATGCCAGGCCTTGTGTAAGTGTGTGCAAGTGAGGCTTTTGTCCACGAGAGAAATGTGTGATGTCTTTCTTCTGTAATAATGCCAGGCCCCATGTAAGTGTGTGCAAGTGAGGCTGTTAAAATCTGGATGGGCTGCGATGCTTCATCCTCCATATAGTTTGGATATTGTTGTCTTGGACTGTTTGGTCCTTAGTAGGGGTGTTGTAGGGACATGCTTCAAAGACGATAGCATGTTTCTGCTGGGCAGCACAAGCTGAACAGCAAGGAGAAGCTTTGGAAATGTGGATATACAGGGTGTTTCACGACTTTAGGGCATAACTGCAGGAGGTGATTTCCTAGGTCTTTGTGATGAAAAAAGTTCATATAAACATGTGTCAGATTTTGGACGGTTACGGAGTTATGGCCGTTTTAATCTCAGAATAGAAGGTAACGATTACTGACAATAAACGGAACAAAATAATAAACCAGCATAATACATGATACATTTAAAGTATGAATGTAAAGTTAACTTTGTGAAATTACCTTTAATTTGAATTGATTGGTGCTTAAAGCTGATTTTCGAAAATGCCACCGCCGGCTGCAACACAGGCTGCCGCTCGGTTGTGAACTGTGCCAGACATACCAATCCACCATGCTTTAGGTACCTCTCAAGTGTCGAGATAATGAGAATGCTCTGTCTGTAGCTGGCTGAAAATAGTAACCCGCCAGACGACAGACGCGGTTCACACGAGGGCATGTACAGAAATGAAAAAACGGTCATAACTCCCTAACCGTCCAAAATTGGACACATGTTTATATGAACTTTTTTGATCACAAAGACCTAGGAAATCACCTCCTGCAGTTATGCCCCAAAGTCGTGAAACACTCTGTATGTACTTTTATTCAGTCTGGAAGAAAACTGGCCTGGTTCTGAATTTTTTGGTCTGGAAAAGAGTATTATAATGTTATCAATGTAAGCAACTAGTGAAAGAATATAATTGATGACTAAGAGGTTAATTTATTAACCATGACACCTCATACATATTGTAAGGTGTTTTGCTACTGAAGACGCCATAGAGATTGTTAACTGGTTTATTCAACAACCTACAAGTAACGGCTACAATTACTTATCACACAGTTGCGGGGTTTCACACTTTATAACCCTAATCGCAATAATCTGTTTACACTGTTTGTGGGGTTTCACGATTTATAACCCTATTCGCAAATCAATTCACTCTGTCTTCAGTAGTCTACACGTTTACAGTACGGGAGCTATGTAAGTGTCCCTGTACCACACGCACAATTACACAACTACACGCACATCTGGTTCTTCTTTCCGTGAACGCTGCTCTACTCCAACTGTAGGCTGCTGACTGGAGAACTGTCTTCGGCGCTGATACACTTTAACTAACTGCGACAACTGAACTCGGTGATGGCCACATTTCAACTAACTCACGCTTACCGCTCAGCTGGCTTTTATTCCGTTCGCTGTTGCCTGTTGCCTGCGTCAACAGTGTCATTGCGTGCCGCGTCACAGTATCTGCGTATAGCCTAGCAACGCTGTTACCTCACGCCATCTTACGTCACCGTGCGGAGGGGGGATGACGGAGCGCTGACTCACCTGCCGCTTCACTGCTGGTGGGGGGGGGTTTCTCCGTTGCGCAACATGTCACAATATATACAACTTGTTCCTATTGAAATTAAACTGGAGTATGTGAGTATGTGGTGCAAGGGCCGAGAAGGCCCACCCCTTATACTCGTACATGTATGAATACATGCATTGTGTTCATTCTTGAAATAAGTTGTGTTATAGTTGTATTGAGTAACCAGTTTAGTTGAGATAGACAAGGATTAGGTGAGATAAATATCCTAAATGAGCTGGAAAATTAGTTAGATGTCTGTATGCAACCCATATAGAGGGTACAAGAATGGTTTATATGCTGTCCTTGTTGTTAGACCTGCCCATTATCAGTAATGACTGACTCTGTGGCTTTTAGTCTGCAAGCGAACTATACCACCCAAGTGACTGCATGCTTATCGGCGAAGTTAATGCCAATTTTGTGGATAGAGGGTGTCGCGTAGTCAGTGCAACGGATTCCCAGTGCTGTTAATCTCGGTTTTCTAGACCAGAGCCACTACTTTTCCATTCAAGTAGCTCCTCAGTTATCCTCATGAGGCTGAGTGGACCACGTTCCAGACCAACTACTTCTCAGGAAATCTGGTAGTGCCGGGAATAGAACCCGGAACCTCTGGATCTGTAGCCAGGAACTCTGACCAATAGACAGAGAGGCAGTCCATTATCAGTAATGCACGGTGGATTTGGTGACGTGCACTGTGAACTGTGATAAGGGTTGGAAGGTAAATTTGGGTTAATCAGGTGCCTTAGTTGTATTTCATCAGCCTTCCTCAGTCCCATAGCACAGCTACAACTTACTGCTACACTACTGCTCATGTGTAACAGCCTGTATTGAGTGTTCTGTTGGGCTGGAATACTTGCTGTGTTGTCACTGGGTATGATTTGTAATGTCGTGAATTTTTCCTTTTTGTAAAGGTGTGTGACACAGCCGACCGTTTACGAGACACCCTGATTCATGAGCTGTGCCATGCAGCAACGTGGATTGTGGATGATGTTAAGGATGGACATGGACCTCATTGGAAAGCTTGGTAATACTGAAGTTCTTATATTTCTCCAGTAATTTTACTTCAGTAGTTACAGTGTATTCTGTCCTATGGCAGTTTTATATTTTACTTTCTTGTATGTGTTGTATAGACCTATGTGAGAGAGCACCATGATCATGAAAAATGACAGTCTCTTGAATTTTATAAATTCCATGTTTTGAGGCCCCTGAATTTGGGAAGTGATTTCTGGAATGCCATATGGAAGTGTGCCTCACTAAAACACAAACAGTTGGACCGACTTTATTCACAGTCAGTATTTATGAGTTATCCATCATATTTAAGATTTTGAGGTTTTCACGGCGGTGACCATGAAGAATGCCGTCTTCTGGAATGTGGCACTGTGTAGATATTGTGGAAACTAACGTTTTGGAGGAATGTATCGCTTCCGTCTTCAGGCTCCTGCTCATGCTGGTTCCTCGTTCGTAGATTTTTTATACCCTGAAGATGGAAGCGATACATTCCTCCAAAATGTCGGTTTACACAATATCTACACAGCGCCACATCCCCAAAGACGGCATTATTCAAGATGTAAAATGTCAATTTTATTGAAATTAGCATTACCAGGTAATTTCAATATTCAGTAACAAATATAGTTTTATGAAAGAGTAATTTTTTTCAGAATTACTGGGTTTTTGGACTTTGTCCCACCCTCCCTCCTCACCTGAGGATGGAAACAGATACAGTTTGTGAAACATTGCGTTTTATATTTTCTAGAATACCGGACGATGGAAAAAGTCCAAAAACCCAGTAATTTTGAGTGTTATACAGCATCGTCGGAACCCTTTGGGATCTGCTAATAGTTTATTTCATTTCCAAGGTAATATAGTTGAGGTAGATTGTATATGGAAAACGATGTTCAGCATCTTTGCACCGACTTCTTATCATGGGGGCAGAATGGTATCCTGCTGCCTTAGAAGTGGCTTCCATCACGCTTGTAAAGTCCAGGAAGGTGAAAGGACCAGGGCTGGAAACACTGGAAGAGAATGGTTTATAGCTAATTTCAGAATGTGTGATATTCCATAAATATGTCATTCACATACTTGGATTGGCTGAAGACATAGAATTAAGCCCATGCTGGAATATTTTCTATCTGCAAGTCATGATATTTTGTTTATTTATGAAGAGTAGATCAGCTGCAGAAATTATGTGCGCTCCTACTATGGGAACAGTACACCATCGTCAGTTAATGATGTAGACATTAAATCATTATTAGAAAGTTACTAGATTCTGTTTGCAATATACTTCTGAAGTTTGTACACCAGTCGGAAATTCAAACATATTACACAGAAATTTTATTTTATAAGGTTGCCTACACAAGGTATTTGTACCCTGGTTCATAGAGTAGATAGACTTAGTGTCAGATGGATTAGGGAGTTGATCGTGAATTATGAGTATATGTGTGGAAGTGGAAGAGGTCAGTTGTGTCCTGTTACAAGGTCCTATCGTGACTTTCACGTGGAAAGGCTAAAGAATAGTACTTTAATTATTTCTGAAGATTTCTGTCTTCTGGGATATAGTGCCATATAATTCGTTGAAAGTGAACCGATGTTTTGGAGGAGCATGTTCCTCTGAAACTTCGGTTGACTTTCAGCAGACTACACGCTGTTGTATCCCGGAAGGCAGAACTCTTCATAAGTACTGCTATTAGAACCTTAAATCTTGGTTAATTATTTCTGTTTACAGGGCCAGAAAAGCTATGCGTGTGTTTCCAGAACTACCACCAATAAAACGCTGCCACGATTACAGCATTCAAACCAAATTCACATATAGATGCACAGGTTGTGGATACAGGTAGTTACAAACAGGATGTATATTATTCAGTGTCTTATATTTGGGGCATACTATCCTAAACTTAGTGAATCCGTTTGCCTTCTAACTTCATATGTACATTGTAGCATCTCTGCCACGCATGGAGATCATTTTCTGAACGTCCTTTTTTCACTGTTATCACATTTCTCTGAATGTCTTCTTCGTAGAATGTAGATTTTGTTCTAGAAAGCACGAAAAGGTAAATGACAGCAAACCGATATTGTAAATCTACAAATAGGCTAATAGTAAATAATGAGATTGTAGAAATAATATAGTGCATATCAATAGTTACATTTTACAGAAGGAATTATAAGTGACATGTTAACATCTCTTCTCTAGTGTTTGTTGCAATAAGCTGAGATAGTGTTTATGCACATTAGTTCAAAAGAGTGTACACCCATGTAAAGTTATATTCTAATTAAATATATATTTACAGATGTGTAGACCTATAAATTCAGGTGGGAGGAAGCTTTGTTCAATTATCAGAAATAAGGGGCTTTGGTAATCTTTTCAAGAGTTTGGAAAACCAGTAATTAAATATATATATTTATACAGATATGTAGACCTATAAATTCAGGCAGGAGGAAGCTTTGTTTAATTATCAGAAATAAGAGGCTTTGGTAATCTTTGCACGAGTTTGGAAAACCAGTACTCATTGTTGAATACCCAAAGAGGGAAGATACAAGTTGNGTGGACCTGTCGTCTTGACAGATTACTGATGATGATGATGAGAAAAATTACTTGTAGAAAAAGCATATTGTATATAAAATGTGTTAATTTATTCTGTGCAGCTTCTGTTTAAAAATTTTTTTGCTCATGTAAGTTATGCTGTAAGGTGTCCATTATTTTGTCCCGTTTTAACCAAAATTGGAATGTGTTAACAAATTTTAGTAAAACTCCCCCATATCACATTTCACAAAAATCTGTTTCTCGATTCTCAAACTGTTTTATGCATGCATACAGACAAATGGAGCAATTTTAATAGAAGCTCCACAGTTTTCTGAATGCCCCTTTCAAAGAACAGATTTAAATTTTACATTAAGGTGAAACAGTATTTCAAGAGTATCTGCTGCAAGAATACAGGTAAGTGTTGAAGTGCTGTTTAGTGGCATTCCCATGGTTGGATTAATGCTGCATGTTGCATTATAATCGGTTTTTCTCTTCCCCCTTTTCCCATCATTCAGATTCCCCCCCCCCCCCCCGCTATATTGTCACTGTAGACATTCTTCAGAATATCAGCTAGTTTATTTTCTCACAGTCTGTTCTCCTAAGATCTGTTCTGAATCTCATCCTCCCTCAAGTTCTTGGAATGGCTGCCTTCTAAGGGATTACCAACAGTATGTTCTGTTCTGCCAACTAATACCTGCACATTTTATACTTTTTCAAAAGAAACAATACAGTTATTTAAAGAGGAGTGTTCCATATCTCCAAGAAATATGTATCCAGTTTCAGTTTCACATTAATATCAGAAGTGATCCAATAGAAATATATCGCTATGATTAAGTCGAAGATCAGAAGGGATAGGGATTTGGATATGCATATTTTTCAAATGTTTGGTTGGAGGGGGGGGGGGACCACCTCTGCGGTCAAGTGGTCAGAGTTCCTGGCTACAGATCCAGAGGTCTGGGTTCGATTCCCGGCGCTACCAGATTTTTCGGAGAAGTAGTGGGTCTGGAACGGGCTCCACTCAGCCTCATGATGATGATTGAGGAACTATTTCAAGGAAATAGCGGCTCCGGTCTAGAAAACCGAAATTAACGGCCATGGGGATTCGTTGCGCTGACCACGCGACACCCTCTATCCGCAAAAGTTGGCACTAAACTTAGCCGACAAGCGGTGGTCACTCTGTCGGTATAATTCGCATGCGGATTAAAATCATGNTGGCGTTTTTTTTTTTTTGTTGGGGGGGGGGGGTTACCATATTGTCCATGGTGTTTGTTTATTCTTGAGATAAATCTGATGTTACGGAGCTAATCACTCTGTAGTTTCTACTGGATGAAGAGTTTATTTTCCCTTGTATTTCATTAAATATTTACCTTATCAAAAAATGTGTCAAATGAAACTTAGGGATATAGATGGATTTACGTTTTATGTGATATACCATTCTTGCATTGATGAACTGCATCGGAAACAATTGGAAAGGTTGAGTCTGAGCTTAATGTAGAGGTTAAATTGGACCAATAAGAACCAAAGTGAAATTCAGCCAACAGATTTTAGTGCAGACTAAATTTCTAGAAAATATGTTGAGTAGTTGCAAGGGTAAAATATGTGGACAGACAAATGGATGAACTAGTCATGTCCTATATGCATTTACTAAGGGACCTTTTGCAAAGAACACATAAAACATAATTTACGAATTTGGTATTAAATGTGTTGAATGTTATGAGTAACTTTGTTTTATGCTTGTTTTGCAGTATTGGTCGTCACTCTAAATCCTTAAATGTTGCCACTAAAAGATGTGGACATTGTTTTGGCATGTTTGAACTTCTTGTGAATACCAGAAGGAAATCAGGCACTGTTGCTCAGCAGACACTGAAGAAACGTAGCCCTGTTGGATTTGCTCGTTTTGTCAAAGAGAATTACAGCTCTGTGAAACAGTCAAGGACAGATTTAAAACATGGTGATGTAATGCGACTGTTAGGACAACAGTTTTCTGCTGTGAAGATTGGGCCAGAGGCCAGAAAACAATAAGCCCCATCACTGATTATCATTGTGTTGTAAACCATACAAGACTGTGAAAAATGACGAGCGTAATGTATCAAATGTTTTTGTGACAATATGTATAGTAATTCAGTGATGTCATTTGACATTGTAATAATTTTAAGATTGACCAGTGATTGCAGACAAATAGTACAATGACAATATTTATGGTACTATGCAATACGGAATATATAATTAGATTGAAAGAGTAAAACTTTGTTTTACATTCCAGAGCATATATTGCCATATATAAATACAGTGATGGTCCATTTTTACATTACCCATAATCTAACAGAAAATGTACTCTCAGACTCATAAATTAAACTGGACATCAGTGGTATAAGTGGAGGGATAAGTGACCTTTCATTTTATCCTTCATTTGTCAGAAATTCGTGTAACATCACAATCTGTATAAAACTTTTATTTCTACATTTTAAAGTGTGAATTAATATTCCATACTACTACAACTATTAATTGCTTATAATCAGTATGAGGTTTTTAATGGTTTATCAGTTGATCATGTTTTATATTTTAGGGTTCAGGATTTCTATGATTTTTACAATTTCCAGAATTTTACTATAGAATGATCTGATTACACTGTCCAGTGTGACTCAAAAGTGTGTGTGTGTGTGTGTATATATATATATATATATATATAATACCTGCACATGTTTTGGTCAATTAATGACCATCTTCAGAAGTCAAATAACACTTGAGGAAACTATTACATAAATCATAGTACATCAAGTTCGAAATTGTCCAAAATTTTATATAAAGATTTTAAATTAAGCTAAAATATTAATATAATTCTTAATATTTAAAATCTTACACCACCAAGGTCTTTGTGCCCCTTCTATTAATGGGAGATTGGGTAGGCTGCCGCCTGTGGAGGTCCAGGCAGTGTGTTTTTACTTCTTTACATAGTTGGTTAAGAGCCTGTGTTTGTTGTTGAGCTGCTTCTCCTTTCGTTGTTTGTTGAGGCAACAACATGAAACACAGACTCTTAACCAACTATATAAAGAAGAAAAAAAAAAACACTGACCGTACCTTCAAGGGCAGCAGTCTAGCCAGTCTCCCATTGATAGAAGGGGCAGGAAGACACAAACCTCAACGGTTTAAAGTTTATACATTAAGAATTTTATTAAAGTTTTAACTCACCACATATAGCTTAATTTAAAATCTTTATATATAAAACTTTGGACAACTTTGAACTTGATGTATTATGATTTGTGTAATAGTAGTTTCTTGAAGTGTTGTTATTTGCCTCCTGAAGATGGTCATTAATTGACTGAAACATGTAAAGGCATCATATATATATATAAATTCACTTTTGAGTCACACTGGATGGCGTAATCAAATCATTCTATAGTACTGAATAGTGTGACAGACCAGAATGAATAAAGTTAAACTTCCAGAACTTTCTTAATTTTTGTTGTACAGTTATTAAAACTTTTGGATCAATATAGTGGTCATGTAATTGTAGCTAATTTTTTTTTAATCTTAAAATTTTTGAACTTAGCCTACTCATAGCATTGGAATAGAATATCAGTTCAGCAGACAATCTCATTAGAGGATCCTGCTTTTGAACATATTTTGGTTTGAAACTCCACTGTTTCCTTTTTTGTTTCCATCCTAACCTCTGGTCCAGTACAATATTTGATTGGAATGTGATTTTCTGGTGGGCAGACCAAGTAAAATAAGTATATTTATTTGAACAGATTATCTTCATATGTTTTGCATCCTGTTGTGTAGGTCTCTAATATGTAAATTTGTCGGTTGATCAAAACAGTTCTACACTTCGGTGAATAGCTGATAAGCTCAGAAGTTGATAAAAACGGTTGGTTTATTAAGATTGTGTCTTATTTGCTACATGTTTTGGCAATTAATGCCCATCATGAGGTGTTTATAAATGTTAAAATGCATTTAACATTCATTACGCTACCATGTGCCCCTAAAGTAAAGGTATCCCTGTAACAAGCCGTGGAGGCCCATAGGGTTGTGAGATGTTGAGGTACCCACATTTTCTAGACAATCTGCTCATAGATGGTGGTAAGGTTGTCAGCCTTATGCACCGGCCTTCCTTTACTTCCAAGAATATTCCTGGCACCCATTTCTGTTGGAGGCTGAGTCGACCCCAGGGCCATAGTGCAGCTGGAAGGATTAGGTAAATTGGAAAAAAATCCAATGACCTCATCGGGATTCGATCCCACAACCTTCAGGCTTGTAGCATAGTGTCCCCTTTTATGTAGAACTACACTATTTAAATATATTGAAATATTTATTTAAATTGCTAAAGGTTATTTTAATATAATTGTTATTCTCTAAAAGTTATCCTAATAAATGAGTTTTTTATGGTTGGGATAGGGTAGGGAGAATGGTGTGTGTCCACTGCATAGGATATGCCTTTTATGAGGCCGTGGTTATTATGAGTATGGGATTGGGTACATTACATCAGTAGAAGCATGAAACTGCACTACAATAAGGAATCTCATCGTGGCCTCAATGGAAAACATTTATTCTGTTGTCCTAGGATGCATGTTTATTGGCCCGTTACCCAGCAATGGGCCAAGTACCAAGAATCTCTTCGCGGGAAGGTTTTTGTTTGCCACTAACCTAGCAACGGATGGCCTACTGTTGAAATTGTATCAGGGTATGTATTTACCGAACTGTTGCTTAGCAATGTTCATGTGTGTGACAGTATAATTGCCGCCGAATTTCTGCGTTCCTCCTACTAGCGACATTACAGACGTAATGCAAGAGCACACCAAGAAAACTGTAAACCAAAATTTCCGATAATTAGCCTGAGCTGAACACATGTTACTGAATGGAGCAGCTCAAATTGAGGAAACTGCATTGCCGTTTCCTCAATTTGCGGTGCTCCATTCAGTATCTTGTGTTCAACTCAGGCAAATAACAATTTTCTGAAATTGCGGTTGCAGTTTCCTTGGTGTGCCCTCGCCCTTATATCTCTTAGACTTTCCAGTTGTATTATCTATCGTTTACAATTGCTACGTTTCCTAGCTACATCGTTTGTAACCGTACTTTACCAAGACGACCTACCGCCTACTTTCTGAACTCATTGCATATACATTTCCCATAGTTCAATGTAATGTTTATTGCGCACGACTTCCCCGCGCACAATATAACAGTTGAGTAAAATATGGCGTCCTGGTGGAAGGCTGTTCAAATATGTTGACGTTAAACTGGAAATATTTCCGTTTTAGATGTTTGTTCAGTTAGTGTAGAATGTCAGAACCAAAAAGGAATACTTTGACATCATTAAGTACAAATAAGAAGGAGAAGAAAAGTAAGGAATTATTAAAAACGGTGCGTTTTACACTTGGTTTGCCCGAATCAAATGAAGAGGCATGCCCAGAGTTCCATTACAGTGCTCTACTCAATTCTGCAGAGGTAAGTTATCACTGAAAATGGTTACGTTCTTCGAAGCCGAGACTTCTGATTGCTGATGTGTCTTCTAAGTGTGTTTTATCGCAGTGACTATTCAAATATACAATTTGTTTCAAGTAAATTTAATGACATTTGTTTCGTGTTGCAACCAGAACATTTCCTTAAGCATTAACCCATTCCCTGTTATTCTGAATAAAAGACATGCTGTATTTTGGCTGTAATTATATACCGAAAGGATTCAGGAGAAGGGTCGCCATGTTTGAAGGAAACATACATGATACAGATATACAAATGTCATGGAAATATTAAGGACATTAATAGTTTGTCCCTACGGGTCATATTCGATGCTATTTAAGTATGTTTATTTTTATGTTTGTGGTTACTTTATATATGAAGAAATCAGATGTCAATTTGTAGGACTCAAACAATAACGACCTACCTAGATCGATCAGATTTAGTGTCATTAGCGTGGTTGGCGCGCCCATATAGCCTGGGTGCACGGTCTGGATGTAGATTTTTTGTTGGCAGTTGAATAATTTGAGATATGATAGTATATGAAGGATAATTAATTTTTTATTGTGGAAAAATGTGGCAGTTGGTGGAATCCCATAGCTGCATTTCAGGCAGTTTTTTGTGCTAAATTGAGTCAGGCTTTGCATAAGTGTTGCCTGTGAGGTTGGCAGCAATTAAAAAAGTGATAATTTTTGCAATTAATGTTATGATAGTGCAATAATTAAATGATAATCGGCACAAAAATATGATAAACGAACAGCTATGCAGTAGTTGAAACAGCTGCTGTTGTAACGGTTGGTAATTCCCAGTGCCCTTGAATACGGTAGGCCTTATTAGTAGTATCCATAATTAAAGGGCGAATGAAACTATTCAGTAATGAAATAAGTGCAAAATGCAATTTTCGGTATGTGGTATTGGGACAAGGTTACGCGCATGACGAACAGTGTGTGGCTATACGGAAATGTGTCATATTGTTCCGATTGCAGTACGGACCGGAAAATTATGTACCACGTACGATGAATTGTACTGTATCTTTTATAGTGGGTACAGTGGCTGTTAAGACGACATTTTGAGACATCTCTCGTGTTCACAAGGGGTGGGGCAGTGGGTCAGCGTGATCTGCGGAACATTTGGTGGGAATCAGGTACCTTTATTATTATTATTTTCTTATTGTTCAGTTGGTTTATTACCATGAAGAAAACACGTGTGATAATTGGAGGGGGGAGGGATTGAAACTTGACCCTTATGTTTTAAAATTAGTTGGAATTTGGTGTAATGCATGCCATCCGTAACTTGTGTAAACCTTTTCGTCGATGAAAACCCCGGGGGGGTGGGGGGGATGAAAGAAGATGCAGTAGGATAGGTGGTGTTCCATGCCTTATGGGAAAATAGATTACCGTCGGTTTACGTTCCAGGCAATGAGTATGAAAGTAAAAATCGTATTAAGATTTATACCGGAGGAGGGGCGTATGGGAAGGGATTGTGGGGTTAGCGACCCGCTACTGCAGCGAAATGCGCGCGTCTCGAAATAATGCTCTCAGTCATGTGGATTGGAAAGTGAGGTCGGGGTTTGTAGCTGAGAAAACAAGCGTTGAGCGTGGACATTCCGAACGGCCTGCATGAAAACGGGAGGCCTTAGGCGAGCGGACATGTTTGATCTTCTGATTGTGGGTGGCGGCGGAGGAGTGGAGACCTTGCGTAGGCAAAAAAAAAAATGACAGTATTGGAAGGCGGATGGTAGAAAGAGAGGGAGAGTAGGCAAATGAGATTAGTATCCATACCGGTTCACGGTTAGCGTGGATAAGTGTGTGTCTGTATTGACGTTGCTGTACAAAGCCGGTTTCGTTTACCGTAGGCCATGTGTGTTGGATAAGGGTTGGCATTTGCGTTTGACGTCTATGCGTTAAGATAGTGTGCATATAAGCGGCACCTTTTTGTAGATGGGTTCTTGACGGTTTAATAGTAACAACAAAAAGTCTTAAATAAAATAAAGACTTGTTATAATTAATGGGATAACCAACAGCAAAAATAAACAGTAATTGGCGATCTTAAAACTTGACATCAAATATAGTTATGCATAATATTAATAATTCTAAACTATACCATAGTAACCCGTAAGTATCAGATATCTCAAGCTACCATAAGACGTTTACATTTAGCTCTAAAAAAATGGGGTATAATAGACGTTTAACACGTAAGATTTGAGGTTTTCATGGCGGTGACTGAAGATTATGTTATTCTGAGGTTTAACTTAGTGTTGTTTGGAAAGGAACTTATTGCATCCATCTTCAAGGTTGAAGAATAAGTCAAGAGCACAACAGATGCAGGCCTGCCACCTGTTTCTACTGGTTTCCTGCTTGGCTTGTTGCAAGACTTTGAAGATGAATACATGTTCTTCTGAAATATTGGGCTCCCACCAAACTGAACAGCGTTACATCAGAGAGGACCGTACTCTTCGTTTAGCATGGAGGTTCCTAATGACCAGATCCCATTATATTGAATGCAGTACAACCTGTATACAATTATGCAGATATGCATGTACATTATGATCATCAAGTAAACCCATTTATTATGGATAAGATACTGTTGTAGATCATGAGGTCATTGGATTTTTTTCAATTGACCTAATCCTTCCAGCTGCACTGTTGTCCTGGGGTCGACTCAGCCTCTAACAGAAATGAGTACCAGGAATCTTCCTGGGGAGTAAAGCATGGCAGGCACATCAGGCTGACAACCTTACCGTAATCTGAGCCGATTGTCTAGAAAATGTGGGAGTCTCAATGTCTCGAAACCCTATGGGCCTCCTCGGCCTCTTCAGTATTGAGGGGGTGGGCTTCCCCGTGCACTTAGACCAGTTATTGGTCCATTGTGCATCCCTCGGCCTGTTACAGGGATAGCTTTACTTTTTATTTTCATTTATGATACCTGTGTGACAAGTGGTTCTGCGAAAGAGGAAAGGAGAAGAGTACAGCATACATTTCAGGATCTTACAGTTCTGTATATAATTATTTATAGAATAATAAATATTCTAAGACAGAAGATGTTATTAGACAGAAAAATTAAATCAAAATACTTGGTGCTCACAAAGAGAAATTAGATGAAATTGGTCCTAGGTTTAAACATTCTTGCTGGAAACCCCTCAGACATCTTGTTCAAGAGACTTGGTTTACAAGTTTACACTTATTTACAAAGAAGAACTTTGATGCATGAAAGCATATCATTTTTAGGAAGTGCCAGGAATTCATGAGTATTTTTATTTTATTGCTAGTGGGGTGGGACTAAGTCCCTTGCACTGTGGCCACTTCTGGCCTATTGTACCAGTCCCAGATGATAGGTGAGGGTGATTGTGGAGCAATTGGTGGAACGAAGATTGGCAGGAGAAACTGAAGTATTTAGAGCAAACCTGCCCCAGCGCCATTTTATCCACCACAAATCCCACTTGATCGAACCCAGGCCAGCTGAATTCATGAGTAGCATCAGAGAGTATGTCTAGCACCTGCTGAAATCTGAGTATGTTCCATTTGTAATGCGATAGGCTGTAGGGTTGTCAGTTTTGTTAAAAGAAAAGTAAGGATATCCCTGTAACAGGCCATGGAGACCCATAGAGTTGTGAGATTTTGAGGTTCCAACATTTTCTAGACAGTCGGCTCACAGATGGCGGTGAGGTTGTCATCCTTATACACCGGTCGCCTTTTACCCAAAGGAATATTCCTGGTACTCATTTCTGTTAGAGGCTGAGTTGACGTCAGGGCCATAGTGCGGCTGGAAGGATTAGGTCAATTGAAAAAATTCATCTCATCGCGATTCGATCTTGTGATTTTCTTGCTTGTAGCATAGTGCCTCAACCAACAATGCTACCGCGTTCTGTTAGAGGTCTATATCTCTGTGGCCCAAATTGTACTTAGTTTCGTCAAGAATTATTGTTTCTTTCTGTTTTTCAGAGGAAGAGGAAAGCAAAACTGAAATCAGATGGGCAGGTGAATGGTGTTGATCCGCTAGCTGAAGATGATGATGACAGACTGAAAGAAATTGCAAGGCAGTTTGAAGAGAAATATGTGAGTACCTGTTTGCATGAGAGAGAACATTTAACACTGCCGTTAACCATTTATATTCCTTGGTTTAAATGTTAATTACTTTCTTACAAGTGTCAGTTTGGTAAATCAACCACATTATGAATTGGGGAGGGGGCTGTTACATTTACAGAAATAGCCATGTTTATGTCACCAGGTATTTGAAAACAGACTGCTAAGAAAAGTATTTGAACAAGGTAAATGAACAAAGCAGTCTTCTGGGATGTGGCGCCTTGTAGATATGATGTTAACTGACTCAGTCTGTTGCACCTGTTCATGCTGTTTTTTTCGCGGATTTCTTGTTTTCTTCTACCCTGAAGATGGAGGCGATACGTTCCTCCGAAACGTCAGTTAACACACTATCCACACAGCACCACATCCCAGAAGACTGCTTTGTTCATAGTCACTGCTGTGAAAACCTAAAATCTTACAAGTTAAATGAAGTATAGTGAACTTTTTATTATGTATGGAAGTGGAGGGGTGGGGTAATGTTGATAATTAAAAACAATAGATACTCAATAGGTCTGTAAATATGTATTTTCCATCCTGCATTCAAGATTGAAAACGTTCCTCCGTAGTTGTATGTATGTATGTATGTATGTATGTATGAGGGGTGCACCATAATAATCCGGCTCTTGGACCATGACCATAAGTGATCTATTATGCTTCCCCTTTGATTAACCCTTTGTTGATTCTGCACCTGGAATGAAATGTAGGACTTTGTTTATGGGGATGTTGTAGTGGTTCCATAAGGAACTGGCCCAGGGACAAAATCTTAAATAAGCTATGGTCTGCCAATCCTATAGGATCTGTGTGGCTGATTCGTCATCTTCTAGGCACCTTTCGCAAGTGGGGTTATCTGTCAAGCCAAGTTTGCCTGTCTGAGTCCAATTGTGGATTCACAATGTTTTTTGTGATTTCTGTTTGTCCAGTCCCTGATCGCTTTCTTGGAAACTCCAATTGAGATGTTGCAAGCTGGTTCAGGTCCTATGAACGGCTGTTCAGATCCAGTTCTTGCCAGTTGATCTGTGGTTTCATTCCCAGCAATACTCTCTTACTGCGATGCCGCAAGATGGTTCAGGTCCTATGAACGGTTCTTCAGATCCTGTTCTTGCCAGCTGATCTGCGGTGTCATTCCCTGCAATACTGTCCTACTGAGATGCTGCAAGCTGGTTCAGGTCCTATGAACGGCTGTTCAGATCCTGTTCTTGCCAGCTGATCTGTGGTTTCATTCCCAGCAATACTCTCCTACTGAGATGCTGCAAGCTGGTTCAGGTCCTGTTCTTGCCAGCTGATCTGCGGTTTCAATACCAGCAGTGATCTGGCACCCATATCAGTTGAACTCTGTTATGTTTGGCCAGTTGTAACTGTTATTGTAGTTGAGCTACTTGTCATTGCAAGTAGTTGATAGTTGTTTAGCAAGCTTTGAATTATGAAATTTTTCTTACAAGACTCTGGCCCCATGATCACCTTGAAATAACAGTCTTTATCTTCTGGATAAAAACAATTACACCACTCAGTGATTTAAAGTTTGCATATTCATTCAGATACGTTTATTGCCACCTGTTACACAATTTTTGTTCCGTTGATTTCTTCGTAGGAAAGTGTTAAGCATAACAGGGTGTATATTTTTCTCCAATTTGTATGTTACATTTATATGCACATTGAAAATATTCTCACATGATAGAGTGACAGGGTTTGGATTGATAATTGGGTTTATTGACCACTTACAGATCGTAGCTACATGTAACTATAAAAGTTTCACTGGTTTACACACTAATGGTCACTGTAACTGCAGCACACATGAAAGTCTTCAGTGTCTTCACTAGTCGTCTCCTGGTAACGGATCTCAACACTGTCCTCTGCTTATGTTCTTACTGTCTGGCATGTATCCCACAACTGAACTCATTGCTCTAGCTGTCATGATTATAATATCTCGGCATGGACTNTACACACTAATGGTCACTGTAACTGCAGCACACATGAAAGTCTTCAATGTCTTCACTAGTCGTCTCCTGGTAACGGATCTTAACACTGTCCTCTGCTTATGTTCTTACTGTCTGGCACGTATCCCACAACTGAACTCATCGCTGTCATGGTTATGATATCTCGGCACGGACCGCACAGAAAATGCTGTTCCTTTGTTGCTTATTAAGAGTTTGTTGCCTAGCAGTGGGTGTTGTTTTGTTGTTTGTTTCATAGTCATTGTCTAGCAGTTGGTCTCTACATGCTCCAATATGAAAATGGATTTTTATAAACCCACGACTTTAAACAGTGTCTTGCACTGCTTTAACTATATAACAGTTTTTTTTTTGTATGACTGAACAAACACAATTTCTAATTTGAATGTTGAAGCGTTGTTTAGAGTGTTTTAATCACAGGTTTCAGAGGAAAGCTAGTTTGTCACAGGTGATTTGAACAGCCAGGAAACTCAACTTTGCCAGATGACTGTTAATACGTACATTCTGTTGTAAGAGTACAGGAGGTCTGGAGATCTTGGGGAAATGTTAGAATGTTGACAGTCATGATCTGAACTGCAGCAGGGTGCAGATGTAGATATTTGAGTGCACAAATGAAAGTCTTTATCTGTGTTGGTAGCTGAGGCTTTGGGGCTATAAAAAATATGGGCTCCACAACCCCAGTTTAAGCTACAGGTCCCATTGCTGATCGTCGGAAGAAAGAGACTTAATAAGTAAAATTGATTGCCATATAGTAAGGATAGTCCCCATTTTGTAAGTAAAATATTTTTATTTGTTCTTAGGGAGGTGCAGGTAAAAAGAAGCACGGCCGGTATGAAGATTACGTTGACCTTGGTGCCGGATATGATGAAACGGACCCATTTATCGACAACACTGATGCTGTAAGTGGAAACATTTCTCTAGCAGAAGTTGGTAGAGTGTCTTAAAGTACATCATTTCTTTGTGAAAATTAAAATGTGATTACAGTTTGTTTTTTTAAATACAAATAATGTAAGACAAAGATAAACAGGCAAGCCAATGGGAATCTCTGTTAGTGAACCGAAATCCCAGTGACTTGTAGGTTGGTTGTTTTGCTTCCAGTAATTCAACTATGA